AGGCGGGATCTATGGGAGATAGGAGTTGAAGGAGACTGGATTTTGTTGGCCCAGGACAGGGCTTTGGTTGATTCGGTGATGAACCTTCGGGTTTCATAAGCCATCTGGTTGGTTAGTTATACGTTTATAATTGGGTCTGAATTTTAATTCTCTCAATTTGTCATCATTTATTTTTTTCTCACGAACATATCGGAACAGTTGGACACTTCAGGCCCGTAATTGTAGCACGTTTGTAAATATTTATTCTATTCTGAACAAGTTGAACAGCTTCCCCAGAAAATGTACATATTCCAGTTTTTCTTTGGCGTTGTATTACCATTTAATTCCTAAAATAAATAATGAGCGGTTCTCGTAAACAATGTAATCAATGGGGCTGCTGTGATAAAAGAAATTCTGAACCAACATTTTGCTTCATTCTGAAAACGTTTCAGACTGTCCCAGTGAGTAGCGTTTCATTTGTCCCCCATGTGTTTCTTTGAAATAGTCAGGCTTTCAATTCGTCCTTCTTTGAGTAAGACGCGGTGTCTGAGTGTTGTGATACGAGGCGTTATCAATGACCAGAAGACAAACATTTATCAGGCTTCCACACTGCTGCACTGACACAGACTGTACTTACCGACGGAAACAAGTGTGAAATGTAATTGCTTACCTTCCTCGTTTACACAGCTCTCATGTTTTGTAGCAGAATTTTTCTTGTAAATAGTTAACTTATTATTTTAAATTCTTGTACGCGTGTTGAAATTAAGGACTGTGTGATACAAACGAAATTGACATAATACGATACATTATAAATAACTTTGTTTTATTGGCACACATGATCCTGTAATGATGTGTTTCATGTCATCGATAACATACGATATGGCAGGACGCTGACAGTGTCTAAGCTCTTACTTGCATGCGGTGTCATATCTGGAATGGCCGATAAATTGGAACGCTGTAATTCTCCTTTTTCGCAGATCTCGTGTTTGTTTTGAAGTTAAAATAGGCATTCACAAGATTCGGTTCCCTGGGTGGAAGAGGGGTACATATTTGAAGTGACGAGACTTTTTTTTTGCACAGAATTAAGTTTTTTTCTATCCCTCAACAACACTGATAAAGCAGAGTTGCTAATTTTATAGAGTTTCTTATGGAGGCAGGAAGTTTATCTTATTTGAGTATAAGAAAGAGGAGACTTGGTGAGTGAAATCATGCAGCAGGACACTGGGCTACTTTACATTAGCTGTTGTTACGTGGTTTAACCGTGTTTTGTCATCTTCACATGCCTTAGCAGGATGAATGTGAATGATGAACTGGGAAAAATAACGTGGGAGGAAGTTTTGGCATAATTGTGATACGAGGTGCGATCGGAAAGTTTCAAGACTGTGTCAATAGAGGGCGAACCGGATGTAGTACGAGCTTCTGCCGCTAGGGGGTGCGGCCTACATTCATAGTGAATCA